CCCCAAAACCCCAAAACCCCAAAACCCCAAAACCCCAAAACCCCTTTCAAGAATGGTGGATTGAGCACGAATTGGTTAAATTTATCTAATCTTCATCACTGAAGGGAAGGTTGAGGAGGAGCAACCAAAGATAGAATTTGATTTGCTTTCATTTGGAGGGAAAACATTCCAGAATCGTAGTGTTTCATCTCCAGCTCCTGTTACAATAGTCTGACCATCTGGACTTAGCGATAAATAGAGAACTCTGTAAGTATGGCCGTGTAGTGTGGCAACTTTTGACATAGATGGATATTTCCAAACCATGATCTGATTTAAGCTATACCCATGTGTCGAAACGATTTCATTGACGTTCTTGGAAAAAGTCAAGTTACAAACTTGACTTCCTGTGTCAACACTGCGAATATTTTCCAAAGTAAGTGTGTTCCAAAATTTAATTCATCTATCAGCAGTACCTCCTCCAGTCGCCAATAAACCGTGTTGGTGAGGAGACCATCCGATAGCTTTGACAGCAGCACAATGGTCAGAAAATTTTGCTAGAGGATCCTCATTCTGAACGTTCCAGATAAATAACTTATTGTCATTTCCTCCTGAAGCCAATTGTTGATCATCTGGGCTCCATTTCAGCCCACATACTTCTTGCTTATGTCTTTCCCAGTCATGAATTAACGGACTGTCTGCTCTGACATCTCTCACTAAAATCCTTCTGTCTCTTGAACCTGTTGCTAAAACTGAACCATTCCAGGCTCAAGCTCCTACTCTTCCATTATGCCCATCCATTGTTCTTATTAAATCCAATTGTTGAGTGTCCCAGATTTGGGTATCACCATTGCTGATTCCAACAGAGAGATGTTTTCCTTTTTGTGACCATGCCACAGAAGTGATGCTATCTCCATACCCTGTCTCACAAAGCTTAGTTACTCTGCTATTGCAGGCACTCCAGATGTAGACTTCAGTGCCTAATCCTACTGCAAGCATATTCTGGCTGCTCCAGTCTACAAGGTTCAGATAGAAATCATCCTGAAGCTGAGGAGCATCAAGGACTTTAAAAGGCAACTTAGACACCTTCCTGCTAGGCTTTAAGTCAGCTTGATAGTATGAATCTGAGTTCATATTCAGCATTGAGGTAAACCCAGAGCTATGCTTCTTGCCTATTGGCTTCTTCTTGTACTTCAAGAGATTCTTATTCTCTTTCTGCATCTTGCTTCCTCCTTTCATGTTGGAATAAGAGGAGAAATTTGGCTGAATAATGTTGTCTGCCTGGTTTATGCAAGACAAGTTCATCTCATGGAGTGCATCGTCTCCACCAAAGAACTGGCTCTCAAGCAGTGCGTTATAATTTTGAAGGCTCGAAGTATCATCTCTTGATGTATCTGAACCTGAAGAGTAGCCCTTATTTGGCTTAATATCTTCATTATTCAGCATCAAAGAGTGGGATGATTCTAAATATGACCTTCAGGGTATAAATCTATCAGCATTGGTCTTTTCATTGATACTATGCCCCTTAGTTTTAACTATTGGAGAGGACGTGATCTTATGCTCCTCATTCTCGAAGCCTCTCGACTCTCTGAAAGTTATAGGTTCCATTATAGAGTCTTTATTAGGTTTCTTGACTCTTCCCATATCAAGGTTAGACATCATTTTTATTTAATTAATTATGCAAACTGTATATCCGTTAAATTTTATGTTGGTCAATCTAGCTTAAAAATCAGGGGTTTTGGGGTTTTGGGGTTTTGGGGTTTTGGGGTTTTGGGGTTTTGGGG